ATTAACATCATAAAAAGAAAATATAAAGGTATAAAATTCAATGTAGAAAACTATTTTTATTCAAATGTTTGGACAGAAAGAAAAAAAATGTAAATTTTTTCACATTGCCAATTCTTAGGGGGAGACAAAAATGTAAATTTTCACAACTCTAATATTTTAAATTTCAATTTTATAAGATTTGTGAAAGTCATCAATATTTATAATATTTATTTTCCGATAAATCAATAACATATTTTCTAAATAGAGAACACGAGAGAATTTCTAAATCTGATGCAATGGCCTATATCAGATTAGACATTCATTCACTTATCCTATTCAGAAAGTTATCCTTTGTTATCCGTTTCAAATACCTAGGATTAGGTATTGTTTACGAAGCTTAATGCGATCTGGTAATTCTTTTCTAGTCTTTTCCTATATCTTTTCTATGCTACTAAAGCCTGTTATTAGTCGAAGATAAAGATATATATGTAACAAATAGTTTTATGATATTATTATTTTAATTATTCCTTCGTATCTCATTTACTTTTATAATTACTTAAAATAATTTCATACATAAATTTCAATCATTTCTATGTTTAATCTTGTTATTAAACGTAGAGATATATAAAGTTATGCATAACTATATACAGGGGAGGTGGAAAAGTAGGTATACAGTTTTTATTATGGAAAAAACCTGCAAGGGAAAATATAGAAGAAAAAATATTAATTCTTATGCTTAAATGACGAATAAAGAATACAAAATAATAAAAGATTTTTTAAAAATTAATCAAATTGCGTTCTCGAGATTAACGAAGCACAGACAGCCGGACGGACGACAATGGGAATGTATTAATATGCATTTAAAAATTGCAGCCCAATAATAATACAGTAATAATAAACCATGCATCTTCCTATATATTTTACGATGTAATATATCTCTTTATGATTTTATATAATTATTTTTCTTTAAACATATTTAAATATTTCAATTATTTTATACTATTATAGACAAATTTCACATAAAAATGACTCAAACACTTATATATTTAATTATAATTAAAACTGGTTATAAAACATAAATTTAATTTATAACAGCCATTATAACTTCAATAAAGTTTGATTTAGATATGGAGTTAATATTAGTTATCTCTTCAAAGTAATCAAGGATTACAAAATTATAACTAATGATATCTGTATTTCTGTAAGTGAAGCAAATAAATCAAGATATATATATATATATATATAACTGTAATAATCTCTCTTCATTCGATAATTAATGATGCATCTAATTTCAATTCATATTCAGTACATTTACATAATTTTTTTATAAGTAATTGAAGTAACAATTGCAGCATCTTTCTGTAAAAATAAAAATAAAAAACGAATTGTTAAATTGGTAAAATTGTTTAGTATTAAAGAGAAACTTTGAAACTTCTTGAAAACTTATATTGAAGAGCGGTATCTCATAGATGATCTCTTACTAGTTATATGATAACTTATCGGGAAATAGCATTCTTAGTACATCCTGGAATTGAAGTTGAAGTGAAGACAATATCCAGTCAATTTATCTTCTCAATTGGAATCAACAAATATCGACAATAGATCAATAAAAAAAAAGAAATCAAATGATTCTGTAGAATCTAATTCATATAAAAACAAGAATAAAGCCAATTTGAATTAATCATATTCATTAGTTTAAATGCAATCGATTCAGATTCACCTTTATTCTTATATTTATACTTCTTTTTATTATTATTTTTTTTAAACTCTTACCGTCTCGTGGGTTTCCTCAAAGNAAGAAAAAAAATAACGCTAATTAATGTAAAATTAAATAAATTGTAATAGTAACACGCTTTATAACTTTAATTATATTTAACAAATTTTTATTTCTAAATATTTAACAAGCATTAAACAATAGTAATTAGGGAATTATTAAAATAGAAACAAGTTTATAAATGAATGAGGTAATATATATATATATATAAATTTTAATCTAATTTTAGGTAAATAAATTAGGTATTCCCTTACATAATAGTGAATTAATTATAATAGATCTGACAGTTATCGTTCAACAATTATACTATATAATATAGTTAATGATATACATTTATAAATAATTATAAGAAAATTACATATATAAATTATAAAATTTATTTTCATAAATCTCTATATACTTTATTTAAAATTATATATAAATATTTACATAAAAACAATGATTTTGTAAGTGTTAATATTCAAATAAATGATACACATTTCTAAATTGTTTTAGTTTAATTTTATTAATTAAGTTATACTTAATCATAATAATAATAATAATAATAAAGTTCACAGATTTTAATTAATTATTTCTATTTATATTTAAGATTATTGTATAATTAATAATCGATAAACGAAATTAAAAATATAATTGAGAATAAAAAAAATATAGAAATAAATAAAATGAAGTTTGTAATCAAATTAAATTTAATCCATTTATTTTATTCTTACAAAAATAAAAAAAAATTCTAATTATGTTCCTGAATAAATTCTCTTACTTTCGATAGAAAGAAGAGAGATTTTTGCATTACAATAGAGTTTAAGAACCAATATAAAGAATTAAAATTTGGTCAGATTCAACAAAGTCTCATTAATAATAAATACAATGTTCTTGTTTTCTTTTTTTTTATGTTGATCATCTTTAACATCATGAAACAAAAAAAAATAATCATTATTTCAGAAATGTTATTTGAATTTATTACATTTTTTTTCTGTAATATATTCTTCTCTTTCTCTCCTAAAAATTAAATAAATGTACTAATAATAATTTCTTGATTTAATAAAATTTCTCTTGTTTCTCATACCTTAAATAAGAAGAATTCGAACAATCTCTCTTTTGTAATAAAACTTGATTTATTCGATTATCTGGGAAAATGAATTTATTATGAGTTACTTTTTCCTTTTACAAGCTTATTTCCTAGATTAAATATATATATATATATATTCGTGTCTTGCATTAAAATTATTTAAATGAATTGAAAATAACGTGTAATAATTGATGCAATGTGGAGGATGTTTGTAAAGCCTCTATCCTCTCTTTTAAATTCAATTTTAAAAGGGTAGAAGGTATGCATTTATTGAATATTTTACAATTTGAATGTCAAAATTGTGTAGACAGCTGAATTGAGCAGCTTGGATTTACGTGATGTTGAATTGACACGCATGGTTCCACCGTGATAACGTTTCTTACTGCTTGACCTGAGACTCGTGGATGTCCCATATTTTTAAGTTCATCATTAATAGATTTATTTAATAATTTATCTACTGTATTGTCTGTAGAGTCGGTTTATAAAATTTACTTTTAAATTTCTCTTTAATTTCACTTCATTTTCTTTCTTTGAATGCATATAACGTTGCCACCGCCGTACATCCTTGTGCATTCATCTTCATGGGGTTCCTCAATAAAAATCAATAAAGCCAGTTCTTTTACAGAAATAAATAGAAACTTTATAAACAACCTGTATGTGTTTGAAGATAGATTAAAAGTTATGAAATTATATAAAATAATTAGTGACGATCACAATTAAAAGTCAACAAAAAATAATTTTCTACGTTATTGANATCTTAGGGTGTGTTCGTCAATCTGTTTTAACCTAATTTTTCTTTTAAGTATGTAAAATATGTTTTTATTATGACGTTTCTCTTCTGTAATTATTTATATAATAATTAATGTTAAAAAAAAATTATACTTAAAATTTTACGTTTAATTTAAGCAAAATAATTTTCTAGTACAATTTTAAACTAATTCTGAGCAAAAATTACTCTTCTAAGAGCAATTTAAACAAAAATTATGCTAGGAAATATATATATATATATATAAAAGAACAAAAATTGAAAGTTATTTTGTTCCAAAACTGCTCTTCTTTTTATCACATTCAATACATTGCCAACACCTTGTACATTGGATTTTATAGTGTAGTGTTTATTTCGTGTTTCTTATTTTGGAACAAGAAATATAGCTGTTGATCTGGTACAAAAATTGTATTTCTGACTCGAGACTTGCATAGAAAATATAGATTTTTTCTTTTTACAATTCTTCAGCATATATTAAACGTTAAATTATACCAAAATATACCTTATTAAATCCATAAGAATTCAATAACGACCATGAAATTATTACAATAATTGACTTTAATTTCGTTTAACTTTAATTGTGTAAATTACATACGGATTTAAATGTCATTTAAAATTTTAATTGTGTACTTAAATAGAATTAAATTTGAACGGTGTAAATTTAAATAAATGACATAATTTTTATTATTATTATTATTATTTTTTTAACATGGATATAAACAGAATGTGAATTTAACACATTTTAAAATACGAAAAAAAAATAATAATAAAGATAGAAGCGTCAAATTGTATATTTTGTAAATGCATCTCAAGATAAAACAATTTATCAATAATTTACGTCAATTTTCTTAGATTTATAAAGTTTAAACCAATATCTCACATAGTATTGAAGTTTGACATGATTTATGAAAAGTCAGCTTTGAAGTGAGAAAAGTTATTAACCCAAGTCAAATATTAAATCCATAAAATTTATAACCAAGATTCTAATAACATTATTTTCAGATGACTGTCTACTCAACTTTAATTTATTTGTCATTCTAACTTTAGTTTAAAACGACATTTTGACACTAAATAGTTCTCCTGTCATCGAATATTCAACCTATCTTCCTTACTAAAACTCTCTCTCTCTCTACTACATTATTATGTATATAATATTTTATAAAATTCATGAATTCTATATTATATAAAAATCTAATTATAATTCTTATTAATTTAAATATAATATTTGATAAATTATCATTATGATAAGAAACGAATTAAGTAGCTTTTAATATAGTGTTATGAAAGTATGTTTTATTATTTTGTTTTCTGTGCCAGCACCCCTTCGTGTAATAATAGGTTAGTCTGGCAGTTTTGCTTGTGCTGTAACATGCATTGAGGCGCTGCAATCAGTCTACTATCGTAGAGACAGCGACTCTGCTGCTTCTCCTTCCAGTCCTTTGTTGAGTTACAGGTATCTTTTAAATTAACAGCAGACGTTGAGGTTAATGTTACTAAGGTAGCATGGCCCAGGAACATTTAAGGACGATAAAACAGCTTGTTGCTACTCTATGCCTTTTCAATATCATCAAGTTTAAGGTATGCACTCTCCCTGATGTTATAAGAATAGGTAAGTTATCATATATACAAAATTTTAATTTATAATATTCTTTTTTTTTAAATTATTTAATTTTGCATTCTGTTAAAATTTTATTTATTTTAAGTCCCTTCTTTTTTCTTCTGTCATTTATGTAATGAAAATACTGTTTTATTATATGATGATAATTTGTGGAGTAGAAAAATTCTAATGGTAGTGTTCCCTATCTTTTAATTGAATTTATTTTTAAGTAATTTGGGAATAATTAAATAAGTGTGATGTACAATTACTTGTTTTCAGTCGTGTTTCGAAGAAGGATTAAGATTAATGAATGTTGTGATTGGCTCATTTAAATGTTTTTTTTTTAAGTATATGAATCGTGCTTATATCATTAAATTTATTTAAATTAATTATACAACTTTTTATACGTAAAACAATTAATATTTTACAATGTAAAGAAATTTTTTAACTTTTTAATTAATAAATATTAACACGGAGAAGGTCAATTAACGACTATGAATTGAGTAGAATTTCCTGCAAAGTTTATAATTCTATGGCTTATAGAAAATAAAATATTTTAAGTTCTTACTGTTTAATTATAAATTCATAATGTACGGTAAAATTTATGTAAATTGATACGAAATTAAACATAAAATATTTTAAAGTTTTTACTTTAAAAAATTAGTTTGTTTTACTGTAACGTAAGTTGGCACAATGTTACACGATATATGTATATATATTAACAGTTATATTAACCTCAATTTTTGAGAATAAGAATGACCTAAATTTAGATTTTTTTTTATAAAATATCTCTTCTACTTTAATAATAAAACTATATTTTTTGTTATAAACATTCAAAACTTTGATTTTTCTTTAAAGTGTTTCGCATGACAATGCAATATTTTTAATACTTTTTATGATAAAAGCGTGGCCTGTCATATGTCAGAAATTTTTCCATCTTCAATTTTATTCATTTCTTTGATATATATATATACATAAAAACAAAATATGTTAATCAAACATAACCGAATAAATTTCTTAATTTAATTACGTGTTAGATATATCCAATTAGAAATTAATTTAATCGAATTATCTTTATTTAGATATGAAGAAAAAAAAAAGTTGAAAGTTTTATCGGTTAGTAAAGTATTAAAAAAATTTAATCTATGATAAGCTTTAATTTTTCAAAGGTTTAGAGTGTATTCAAGCAGAAAATTCATGTTTTCTCTGGAGAAGAATCTACAATTTTTATTGAATTTTCTTTAATTTAAATTATTCTGTGATAAATTAATTATTAAAAACTTAAATAAGCTAATTAATTACAGTTAATTAAAGTTTAACATTAATACGGTTAATTTTTTTAATGTATTTTACAAAATTTTCTTCCTTAAAAAAACTTGTAAATACTTTAATATTTTCAAAAACTATCCATAAATTTATATCTATTGGAGCTATTTTATACTTTTTTTGTTCAATATAGAGTATTTTAATCTTTATTTATCTTTCTTATCTTTTAAAGTTTGAGTAAACTTACTTCTCCAATAAGTATAATAAATCCCCTGTAAATCAGCTTTTTCCGTCTTACACGAAAATATTTCTGTTTTCGATAAGAATATACTCTTGTAGTTTTTATATATTTTTTTAAAATATATTTTCTTATTTTTTATTTTAAACGTAAACTTGTTCTTATCTATTATAAATTTATTACCATCGAAAACCCATTTTATTTTATTTCTCTCTTAAGAGTCATAAAGCTATGGAAAATGCTGTCTTCACTCATTTATATTCATTCTAATTGCTCAACTATAAATAAGCACAATCTATCATACTTGTTAGATTACAATCTTTAAACATTAAGAAAAGTAAACAATGTTAGAAATCCAGTGTAAAATTTATATACTTATTCTGGTTGAAATATTTTATTATTATAGAATTAATTCAGCTAATTTTAAAGTTTCTTCGTATTTAACAAGATATAATAAATTGCTTTATTTTAAATAATATTTCTTTAGTTTTTTTTTATGTCGAAAATGTTAATAATTTCAACTGAAATCAATTCATTTAGAAGAATTTTAATACAGAACATTGATGAAGCGTATAAAAATATCATTAATAAATATATAAAATGTGGTTTAAAAGTTGTATTTCTAAAATAAAAATGTCTTAATTTAAACGTGTCTTTTTTTATGTTTTCTCGAGAGAAAAAAAATGGCTAAATACAACGTTCAATTCATTTTTTAATGAAATTAATAATAGATGAGGACGGTATATTTGAGTTAATGTTCTCTAAAATGAGTTTTAAAATCTATTCTATTAGGGTGATTCAATAGAGAAATTAGAAATTAAATATAATTTTTATAATTTTATATTCAATAATGAAGAATTTCATTTGAAGTTTTCAATTTCTTCTTGACCTTTCAGTATTATATATGTTTTGTAAACAAAACGAAATTTTCTCTCGATTGAAAAACCTGTTCACACTTTGGCAAACATCCAAGCTTGTTCTGTTATATCAATTTGTTAGAAGACATCACTGACCCATTTTCCAGATTTTTATTCCTCTTATTAAAATTTATTTACGAGACTCCATTATCTTCATAAACGTTATATCTGTTATAATCTTCTGTCGTTTAGAATTATGTGACATCTGGCAATATTAATTAAAATTAAATTAGTAATTACTGTTTCGATAATAAATCAATTGTTAAAGCTTCACTAGTAATCTTTTCAAATGTTGTAATTAATAATTATCTAAATATTTTAGTAATGTTACCCGATCGATATTTTTGTGTTAAGATGTTACGAAAGAGTGGTTAAGATGGGGTTAGTTTCGAGAATTTTAGTGATGTCTTCTTTGAAAATATTTTCATATGAAGATACTGTTTTGATTTCTTTACTCTCCCCCCTCCTTTTTATCTAGGTAAAGCACTATCGACTTTCTCATATCTTGACTCTATTCTTCCTTCCTTTTCCTTTTTTTTTTATTATCCTATCTCTTTTCACTTTTCCTTTTTCCCTTTTTATTTTTCCATCCTACCATTTTCCGTTTTTGATTTTATCGTCTTTTCCCGTTTCCTTCTCATTCTTATCGTCTTTTAATTTCATCTTTTTTTCCATTTCAACAAGGAAAAAATAAGAAGAGCGCATCTTGAAACACAATTTTACATAATATACTGATGTAAATTTATATATATATGTGAGTTATATAATAAAAAAGAGAGGAGTAGGTAGGAGGAGGAGGAGGAGGAGAGAGAGAGAGAGAGAGAGAGATAAATGTTTCAAATTTTTAAATTCAACTTTTGTTAAAATTAATATATATATATATACAGAGAAATTTTTAATAGATTGATTGCTGTCACGGATATGTTGAATCTTATTTTTGCATAATGTTCATGTAATGGATTTAGTCNTCTTCTTCTAAGTCCTTTCACGTCACATTATCATCTAAAATACAAATTTTTAGGGAATAAATTAGAGTTTTAGATCCAAAAAAAATCAACTTAACAACTGTTTTTCGGATCCAAAAGCAGATTTTGTTTCATGCAAACGAAGCCATGTTTACAGCTCATTCTTACAACTTCTATCCTTCTTATAATAATTTAAACCGGTTCTGGGATTAAAATATATAATAAATTAATTAAATTTTCTATAATTAATCATTTAAACTCCACATTTATAAACAAATATTTTTAAAAACTAGAACTTACTACTGTTAAATTTAACGTTGCCGCAACTTGAAAGACCGTTAAAATCGGTAATTTACGGTTACAAAATTCAAATTTTTTTAAAGAAAATGCTGTTTAAATGTTATTTAATTCATTCTAAGGATGTAAAACCTTTGGTTTATGTAATTTAACCCCTTTTCCTCACAAAATTTTACACTTCAGATCCCATCGTTATCGTATACAGTATAAATCACTCGCACTTCCTGACATTCTATACCATTTTACGCTCGTCTACGCGTAACGTTAGTGCGTACAGTAATTAAAATAGATAAAAATCTAAATATATATATATATATATACGAAAAAAAACATCATTAAATAATACAAAAATTGAGAAAAATCTAGTTATAAAAAGTCGAGAGATGGATGCCATTATGTCGTCTCTCTACCTTAATGAGAGTAGGGTGAGTTAAATACCCCCGAAAGCCTTCATTACTGACGTCTGGAGGAGGTTAATGCTTCAAAAATTACACGTTAGAGTAAAAAAAAATCCCCCGAAATATCTATAAAAAACAAAAACAATGATATGAAATAAAGTACAGATGTATTTTTGTTATTGGAATTCTTCACGTTAGGATCGTTAAGAGTGTATGAGCGTGTGATTTTTTTTTTAGAATCTATAGAGAAATAGGAAATTAATTCTTCATAAAATTCTAAAAAAGACCTTGTTTAAATGACTAAAGGTATAGAATTAAATATTGAATCAGATAATTGGCACCCTCTTTTCTTCTCTGTTATCCTGATCATTTCTAACGATACAAAAGCAAAATTTCGCAATTTATACTTTTAAAAACTTCATTAAATCTTTCCTTATACTATAGAATTGAAATTAAACAGTTGAATTTCTTAGAATCATCAAAAAAAATTTCTTTCAGGATACATTTAAAAGCTAAATGATGTCACCTCTAAATGAATAGCGTGTCTAGGAAGGTTAGAAGCTAAATTCATCATAATTTATCTAATTATCCTTCATTTTCTGGTGTTTTTGGGAGTTAAGTAAACAGATAAAGGCCATTTTTACATCGAAAAAAGGAGGAATTTTGAATTTTTTGAAGATCAAACCAAGCCATACTTTCGTTTAATCTTGGCGATTTTTTGGATTCAAAATGGCTCCTAATTTATCTCTGTGGTGTTTTGGAAGTCAAATAAATATTTAAAAAAGCCATTTTTATACGAAAACAAGCAAAAATTTTGAATTTTTTTGAAGATCAAACGAGGTCATACCTCGTTGAATCGTTCAAGATGGCTCCTAATCGTGATACGTATTTTTAACCTTTTATTAAAGAAGTAAATCTAAAAAAAAATTCT